AGGAGAAAAAGCAGAATTGTAGATCTTTGTTGTTTGTGTATTTTAAAAGGTATTATAAGACTGTTATGCTACAGGGCAATAAAGCAAGGGTGCACAATCGGGATTTGGTGCAGTGTGCAATTACACAAAAACTGAAGCCAGACGGTCTCTTTCTGTCTGTCCGAGACGTGAATCCACGCCAGCGGTCGTACAGTTCCAGGCAAAAGCGGCAACATTGCCGAACTGGGCACAGCAATGGATCCGTCTGGTGAGAAGAGAAGAGAATATCCGTTCTGGCAGATGGACTATAATTTTGCATAATCATTAAATGGAGTAGGAAAATAAGTAAAATACGGCAGAAACAAGGATCACTCGACTTCCAGTTTTATCCTTCTGGTTGTAATCTGGGCTCTTCACTTTGTAAAAGAGCCGAATCGGCTAGAAAGTTGTCATTTTGGCATGTTTGGGCAGTGAAAAAGATCGCTTAGTACAGAATGTAAGAATGAACTCGCGTGGATTAAAGGGGAATCGGAGAATCAGGTTTGTAGGAAATGTGGGAAAAGTGGGAAATGTGGGAAATGTGGGAAATGTGGGAATTATAAAACGCCACTCGACTGCCCAGTTCTATGGGCGTATGGATTGGATTGGTTAGATTGGCCAGTCAAAAACGGACAAAAAATAGCATGATTGACACTCTGCCACACGTACTGTCCGCACAAATAGGGCGGATCCCAGTTGGTCTTTGCAGTCAGTTCAGCCTTCAGTGTGTTGCACGAAAGCGCCAGGGAGGTCAGCGAATTCACGAGAACAGTATTTCCCACCCTGGCCTCCGCATCCATGACATAATTCAGCCCACAAGTGACTCTCAACCTACACGACCTGAGAGCGAGACCTCGAAGGCAACATGACTGCAACGACACAAATGAATGTCACCCCAAGGGGAGCAATGTGTGAAACACAAAAGTGAACTATGATGCACGATCCCCGGCCGGGCGCACAAACATGCATAGATTTAGGAGGACTTGTGAAGTGATGTGAATACAAGCGATTGGCTGTTGCGTGCAAAAATGCGGGATGTACAAATAACTGAGTCCCCTCAAGGGAGTAACGGGTCTGGGCATACAAAGAGGTGTCTGCATTGTGTAAAGTTGTGTGCATAAAATCTAAAGAGAAATATAAATCATTCTAGTCTAATGTGTGTGTGTGTGTGTGTGTGTGTTTGTGGTGAAAATGAGTGCGGGGATGCAAAAATAAAGAGGCAAAATTAGATACAAGAAAACTTAAAAGTCATAAATAGTAGAACTTGGACGCGTGCATATACAAAAGGAGAATAGTACACCGGTCTTCTGAGAGGGGAGTCAACAAGCTGGCATATCTTGCAAGACTCGGACTGCAAACTGTGGAACAGAAAAAAGCGTATAATATCTGGCCCTAGGACCTGCCTTCAACTGACTCTGCCGACCGAACAGCAAAGCCTGTTTCAACGTGAAAAAATGCCCATTTCAACATTTCTTCAGCTTGCACTACTCGCGAGTAGACGAGATGACTCGTGCAACGGCATGCAGACAGAGGGCTCAGTGTGCTGGAACCTTCATAGGGCAAATTGTCAAAATCCTTCGGCTCCTCCTCCTCCTTCTCCTCCGGTTGGTGTAGATGCGAAACTCTGCCCTGGTGAGATCATGCGTGACTGCCCGTCTGTGTAGACATGTGTTTCGATGTGTGTCTGTGTATGGGTGTGTGTGGGTGTGTGGGTGTGTG